CCCCTGTTTGGGATCAAATTTTTTAGAGTTTTGCTATACAAACATAATGTTTGACATAGGAGATGACACAACACACACATATGAGGAGGTCGGCATTATTTAATTCAGGTCAGGACCCACATACAATGTGAGAGGTTGGTCAACCCCTATGTCAAGCATTATGTTCATTTAACTTAATTAAATTTTTTACCTCATTTTAATGAAAACTCCAACTGTTACATGTAGAAGCAGCCGCAACTTTTGATTGCACCATCTCACAGTGGGATCCATGTGTTAAAAAAAAAGGGTAAAAAAATTAATTCTTATATTCAAATAATGGGAAACAAACGGGGTGTAAAATTTTTCTATTTCTGGAGTGTGTGTAAAGTGAATGCAAGTGGATGTCTGAAAGTCAAATGCGAACTGAAAATCTTTAGAGCCCTGTCTCTTGAGAAATGTAAGAGTCTGAAACAGCAACTTGCATTGAATAAAGCCAAATGATAAAGGTCAGGAATGAGATGTGCAATTTATTCATTTTGATATGAGATGACATAGACGTAAATAATTTATTTAGAAGTGCCTTTCTCTTTCTAAATTGTTCAAACTATTTTATATGATGCAACTAAGTTAGTAGATAGATACTTGCAAAACTAAAATTAGTATGACAGACAAATCTTATGATAACGATTAATTTCTAAAAGTGGAAACACATAAAATACCAAGGAAAGCATTCCAAGTCAAAAGAACGGAGAGATTTTGATAAAATTTAATGAGATGTGATCGAAAAATTCATAAAAATTATGGATCACACGAAATATATAACTAATGTTGTGAATTTCATGAAAAGTTGTGGATCCCTGAACTAATTTTTGGAATATCTTGCATGACTCTTTTTACCTCTCTATAATTAACATAACACAAACATAGGGGTAACAACGAGTCAAGGTACGAGCAAAAATTCGAAGCTCAAGCTCGGCTCGAGCAAAATGGGTTCGGCCTATTTTTCAGAGTATAAAAATTAAAAGAACCAATTCACAATGGGAAATGCGAGATGCCTCATGGAGTATAATTCACGCCAAAACGAATGTTTTCCAAGGAAAGTGGGTAAAATATGAAAATGATGATAAAAATGAAAATTTTATCTGCAAGCACCTCATTCTTTTTTACAGCATTTATAAGAATTCATAATAGAGATATTTTACATGGACAACTGTAATTCTGTTGTTGTATTTATATATGCAGTTAAACTCATGTAACAAAAATGTGAATTCATTTTTTAATCAATATAGATTTTCTTTCTAGCTCAATATGGTATCAGAGCTATTTTCTGCTTCCAGATTCTCCCTGAGATTGATTCTTGGCGTCGATTGTTCTCTATCAATA